GCTAACAGAGCGGGCCTAGCAACCGGAGGCGAAGGCAGGGTCAGCCTGGCGGCCTCTCGAGCCCGCGCCGCGCCGGGGCCCCTCCGTCCTCCTCCCGCACGCAGGGCTTCCCGAAGGGCGCGGGCCGGCCATGTCCTTTACCGCCTCCCCTCCCATTCACCCTTAAACCGCCTCGGGCTTCCCGCGACTTCCGAGGGAGTGTGCCTAAAATTGCACCTGCGCCCATGTGATGCTCTGCCGGTTACGCAACGCACGTTTACACACGAATTCGCTTTAATCACTCTTCTTTTGCCCAACAGTTTCTCTGATTCCTTTCTCCCTCACAGTTTAGGTTACAACTAATTCTCTCTCTTTCCCCGCCCCAACACATCTTAGTGAAGAATTGTAACCGAACACCACACTGACAACTACTGTCCTGTCCTTCTAGATACTGTACAGAGTAAGAACCTGCTAATGGTGCAGTCCTATACACCAACCCTACACGTCCCCAGCCTTCCACTATACTGTACGGTACTTCCGTACTTCCCTGGAAGTAAACCTTTGCTGAAGTCAATATTGAATTCAGTAAGGGTTACTTCCAGTGAAGTGTGTATATTTATTGAGGAGTAAGCCCAACCTAATTCAGGGGGACATCTGTAGAAATGGGTATGATTATGCTATTGAACAGCTTTCATTAATAGGGATATAAGAATGGTAATAATTATTTCCGTCCTTCAAGCCATACTGATTGACCACTCTTTTAAATAGGGGCACTGTAGATTACAGAATTATGCTTTCTTGTATGTATGATGCCAGTATGTCTTTACTTCCCTTTCTGTGCTTCTCTCACCATTTCCCATCAGTTCTGTAGATAAATGGAGAAGGGCTCTCTTTAGTGTGAGGTATCAGGAACTGTCTATATATCTTCTCACTACAGACCCTGCACATAATGCAAATATATACTTTTTCCTGGTCTCATCACAGCAATCTCCTTGGGGAGATTCCAAGAGCACTACATTATCACCTGTCAGTAAACTATTTTATATTATGAAATATGTTGATACTATATTGTTCAATATAATTATGTATTGTGAGTCTTGTTTTCTGAACAATTTTTCTTGTGTTTTTGTTTTGTGAGCTGCTCTGAGGACACATGTATAGAAATGCAGCAGAGAGATTAAAGATATGAAGTTGATATTATCACAGAATAATAGTTGTGGTATTGAATGACTTGTCAAGTCACCTTCCCATCCATCAGATATAACCATATCTTCTAGTCTTCCTGCTTGATAAGAAATTCCTAGAGCCAAGTTAGCACTTAATTAGCAGTTTATTTAATAATGTGTGATTATATGCTGTCTGTATTTTCCCTTCCTTACAAACAGGGATAGGCAAAATGCAGTCCTCCAGATACAGTATTGGTAGCCTGCAATTTCCATCCAGAGGGCACTTTGCCCTCACCCTTATAGTCAATAAAAGGAAACATCAACATGTATGGAATTAATGATTGAGAATAGAACAGTGAATTTTAGCCAAAAATTATAAGATAAACTCCCAAGTTAATTACAGAATAAAGCATGTTTACCCTATTGACAAATGCAAATGATCTGCATGGATATGACAAAGAAACAAATTGCAGGTGGAAGTCAGGGAGGCTGGAAAAGAGTCACTGCAGATGATAGAATGCCTCTCCATGTATCTTAGCTGATTAAACATTAGACACGCATATGCCACAGGCCAAATTCAAGCAGAAAACCCTTAACAGTAAGTTCAGCCAATCTCCGTGCCAAACATACCCTGCTCACATAAACTGACTCTGATCTATGATGGCCCTCCCAATGTTTTGTTGATATGAAGTAATCAGAAATGGTTTACCAGTTTCCCTTTTCTTACAGACCTGGGCAAAGTGCAGCCCTCCAGATGTTGCTGAACTGCAAATCCCAACATTCCTCACTGTGGGCTAGGCCTAACTCTCCTCACACTATTGGCTGTGTGGGCTAGGCCCAAATCTCCTCACTATTGGCTGTGTGGGCTAGTAATTATGGGAGTTGCAGTTCAGCAACATCTGGAGGACCACATTTTGCCCACCCCTGCATGATACAGCTTGCCCAAAGCTGCACTGGTGACAAGACACATAGTTGCATCAGCCACACATGCTCTGGGTGATCTCAGCTGGCCCCTTTCCCAGGAAGCACACAGGGGATTGGAATGCCTGGCCCCTGGCTCCACAATCAGGTACCTCAACCCACTGAGCCATACCACCTCATCCTACATATTTCTCTCAGAAAATCAGTATCCAGAAGAAGAAGGACAGTTAGTTTCCATCTCTGTCCTGCTGCTGCCTCTTCTCCCATGTCAGTATATCCACAAGAGGTTAGGAAAATTAACATATATTTCCCAAGAAGTAAGATAAGCACTGAATAGTAACAATGCACAAGTATCCTTTAAGAACATGCCTGATCAAGTCTCTTCTAAAAGGTAAATCCTTTACAGTATATATCAAAGCCCTTGAAAAGTCAGATTAAACTATATTTTTTCTTTTGCTAGCACATTTGTAGTAATAAAGTGGACATTCAACATGTAACTAGACACAGAACTTTCCTTTTATCCATGGCAATATTTATCTAGAACACTACTCCTCTCATTATCATGGATTCTGTATTCCTGCTGCTGAAAATAAAAGATTGTTCTCACAGGAAGAACCGTAAGGATCTTATTCAAAACAGACCTATTAACTTCTCCACCCCTACTGATTCTGTTACACTAGAGAATTTCTTCCCAAAACATCCCTGGAGACAATGATTAAATGTTTCAGTAACTGGCAAAGCTTTATTCCTCATTTTAATAAACAGCCACAGCTTTCTAACCCAGTATAGTTAAAAAAAGATTCTCATGAGGAACTTTAAAGTTTCCTCTGGGCTAGTGAAATGCGAACATCTTTCCATCTACTGTACTCTTCATTCAGTCTGGTCTGTTTGTCTGATAATTACTTCCACTCTGTAGTTTGAATTACTGAATGGTAATGGCAGTGATTTATTGATTTTCATGGCCACCACTGTGGGTTATATGCAGGAATCTGTGAAGATGCTCTTTCCTCACAAATATTTATCAGAAGTTTATAAAAACTGCTTTTAAAACAGCCATTTCCTATACCAAGAGATTTCCAATGTTTTCTATTATTTCCTGAGATTGATGGCTTAATTCCAGTACATTGAACTATATTTAGCTCATATTAGAAAAAAACAGCCAATTTTTCTAAGGAACATCAGAAGATTATTTTGAAAGCAAAATACCAAAGTGTGAAGCAAATTTTATTAGATGAAGCAAAACAACATTACCATCTAGAGTGAGTACTTACAGTCTGATTCAAGCAGCTCTGAAATGACCTAACCTTTCCCATCAGATTCAGTTCCCAGCTTTTTCAAAGGCCACATGTAAGGTCACTGATGTTTACAAGAGTTGTCCAGGGCAACCAAATAGAATAAAGATATTTAAAGGGACCACTTCTAGGCTAGTAAATATTATCTTCTTGAAATGTTATCTTATTACTTGTCCCATTTGTAGAGAACACTGTTGCACCCAGTGATGTGAAAACCAAAAAACAAAGTGCAATTTATTCTCTTCCCCACTCTCTTGCAGAAAAAAGGGAGCCCACTTTTCCTTGTATTTGTGGGATTTCCAAGCATAGCAAGAGCATTTGCTTTTCAAAAAGTAATTAAAACGTCATAACCTTTGCTGCTTGAACATATTCCATTGTTCATGTATATCTGAAAAGTAAGATCAGCTCCCTCTGCTGACAAATGTTCAAGGCAGCGGACTGAGAGTTCATGTAAGGATAAAAGGGCTTGCTTAACATGGCCTATTGCAGGCCATTTTGTTTAGAGACCACTCCACCTGCTCAGAAGCAACAAAAGACTGCCAAAAATGCATGGATGGAAAGAAAAAAAATGTACTGGCTCCATGGACACTAAGCCTGTAATACTATGCACATATATTGGGAATAAGCCCCATTCAAGTAAATGGGACTGTGAGCCCCACTGACCCCCGTAGATTGGTTGAGTTCTCCATCCCAAGATGCAAAAAACAAACAAACAAACAAACACCAAAGAACCTCTGAACACACTGGGGTTTACTGAACTTGGAGACAGCAGTGTAAATTTAACAACAGTGAACAATTTCAAGATAGTTTCCCTCAGTGCTTGGGTACAAAGTCTAGCTTCAACTCCTTCAGAAACTCTACCCCCATCAGTTACCATGATTGAGGAGGAGTTCATTCTTGAGCTTGCTAAGGTTCTTGTCTTTCTGGGTTAGCACCCAGGGTGGAACAGCAGGGGTGGCTTATAACACTGCACCGAGGGCATGGTGGCTGATCCTGGGTTCCTGCTCTTCTTGTAACTGCCCTGGGTTGAGAATGTTGGCTTGGGTCTTAGCTTCTGCCAGGGTTTAGTTTGGGGGACCACTAATTCTCCAGGAGATCCCTCTTCAATTGACATATTGTACTTTTTTCCTTTTCTCCCCAGTAAGAGGGCTTGTGTGGTAGGTGTGGGTTGAAATGCCTCTCCACCTCTTCTCAGGGGACTCTCAGCTGAACTAATACCCTAGTCAATGGGTCTTCTTTATATACACATTCCCAGTCCCTGGGAGGTTCAGGTTCATCTGGGCTCTTGATGTCCAGCTGATATGATTCTGTCTTGGGATCTTCTATTGCATCATCTCAGACTTCTTTTCCTTCCTGCTCTTTGTCTGATATCCAGTCCACTGTCTGGACAGATCTCTGTATCTTGTCTTCTCCCTTTTTTGTTCTCTTCCCTTGGCTACCTCTAAATCCTCTCTTCTAGCTCCCAGCTGCTAAGGATCTCCTCCTCCATCTCATCGTTGATCTCGCCTTACAGTTCTTGGGTTTGCTACACTTTTCCCCACCCTTTCTATTACTCCTGATTATATTCCTGCATCTGTTCCTCAAAATCTTCCCTGATCTTTGTTTTCCCCAAGACACCACCATTTACCCTATTATCCCCCAGATCTATCTGAGCATTCATAGTGTGAAATTCAGCACATCCTGGGGAGAGGTGAGACAGCCCACAAACAGGAGCCTCAAGGCCACTGTCCTCATCCTCACAGGGACTTAACATCTAAGTGAACCTACTGAAGATTACAAGGGCAGGGTCTTCTCAAATAACCCATTGGACACAGAGAAGCCACTGAGGTCATGCTTTGGAGTCAGAGGAAATTTGAACCAGATCAGGTTGATCTGGACAGATGTGGGAGAGGTCCAAATGAAAGCAAGACTCCTTAACAGCAAAATACAAATACAAAGATTTTTGAAGAACAGCAGTTTAGATTTGGAGGAACACAGAAAGCATACTTCCCAAAATTGATTCATTCCTCTCCTAGCTTTCCATATAAGGAAAAGGGTCATCAACAAGAGTGCTCTACAGCAGACTCTTGCAGTTGTGTTTAGTACATTTATCTGGATGGTATAGATCCAGCACTGTCTTGAACAAGGAAAAATGCTTTCCCATTTACAGTGTGTGGCTCTCTTAATTCAGCCAATTTTTCCTTCCTGCTCTGCTCCTGCACACAATTTCAAAGGGTTCCTCATCCCTCAAGAGCAGAATTTTGTGTGACAAGGGGAACAAGAGTTATATAGAAAGTAGAGCTTGGAAGGGTAACTTTTTTGAACTATATCTCCCAAAATAACCCCAGCCAACATGGGGATATATATTCCCAAAAAGTAACATTCCCTTGCTTTGACACCCAAATGGCAGGAGGCTGGGAAGGATGGAATCTCTGGGCAAGAGACCCTTTATACCCAGAGCAGACAAGATGGCCAGCTGTGCCATCTCTGCCATTTGCACATAATTACCCACTGGAGCTAATGGCACATGCTCGTCTGATGTGGGACTTTTGGATCTACAACAGCTAGCATTGCAGAAGCCTCATGTGACTCTCCATGTCCCAGATACAACACTGCAACTCTGCCTGTTGGCTTAGGGTGCTACCCACAGGCCTCCCTCCTCAATCACAAATTAGTAAAAATATCTCTATTACCTTGGGAGGCAAGAAAGGCAGGTGGCTCTCAGGGCCAGTAGCTCCTATCATGGCTGGCATCCTCCCTTGTTGACCACCCATTCCGACATGAGGAAGGAAGGCTGTCAGGAGACAGTCAGTGGTGCCTATAGGTCAGGGGTCAGGGAACTTTTTTACCTTTTACCCCCCTCAAAAATTTATATACGTTGACATTACCCACCCCCCTTGGCTCTTGCCGTCTGCTGTCTGAGGCCAACCCCACAGGCCTCCCTCCTCAATCACAAATTAGTAAAAAATATCTCTGTTACCTTGGGAGGCAAGAAAGGCAGGTGGCTCTCAGGGCCAGTAGCTCCTATCATGGCTGGCATCCTCCCTTGTTGACCACCCATTCCGACATGAGGAAGGAAGGCTGTCAGGAGACAATCAGTGGTGCCTATAGGTCAGGGGTCAGGGAACTTTTTTACCTTTTACCCCCCTCAAAAATTTATATACGTTGACATTACCCACCCCCCTTGGCTCTTGCCGTCTGCTGTCTGAGGCCAACCCCCGCCCCGCCTCTGTGCTCACCCAGGACCTGTAGCCATCGTCTGGGTAGCCAATCTGGAGCTGTCACAATGCTGGGAAAGCGCATCCTTGAGGTGGGTGCCACAGGGCCAGCAGGTCCACTGGCCATGGGCTCTGGTAAGGCGGGATGGGAAGAGGGCCTCCTCACCAGCGCACCAGGCAGGTGGGCACGGGCAGGAAGGAGAGCCCCAGCCAGGGTTCTGCCGGGCAAAGAGTCCAGCTGGCCTGGTACCCCGTACAACACTGCAACTCTGCCTGTTGGCTTAGGGTGCTACCCACAGGCCTCCCTCCTCAATCACAAATTAGTAAAAATATCTCTATTACCTTGGGAGGCAAGAAAGGCAGGTGGCTCTCAGGGCCAGTAGCTCCTATCATGGCTGGCATCCTCCCTTGTTGACCACCCATTCCGACATGAGGAAGGAAGGCTGTCAGGAGACAATCAGTGGTGCCTATAGGTCTAGAAGAAGCCACACAAACCACCTTACTAAGGCCATACTGTCTTCAAAGGAGAAAACCTGAAAACATTTATAATCAATAGTTAAAGAAGATTATATTTCTGAGTAATTCAGAAGTGTCCTTCTGGCACTGAGAAAACTCTGAAACACTGGCATTTTGTTGGTGCTGAAAAACCACACCGAGTTTTAATTTGAACTTTACCGAGATATACAAGGTGTGAACCTATTCCAGGGACATGGTTCACCACTTTGAATAGGACATGTAAAGTGCAGACTAAAACCCAGAAGGGATTCACAATGTCACTGACATTTAGTGCGACCAGCCACTATTTCTTACCTGTTGACCATTCTTGGCGGGGAGTGGGGGATGCATGTCTGTTTTATGTTATTGTTTTATGTACAGTATTTGCTTGATTCCTAGATTGACTTTAGAGCAGATCTTTTGCTTAAATGCATGAACAGTATTATCTACATTGAACTATTAATGCCCTGTAAAACAGCCATTATCTCACAGCACTCATCTTCTAATGTGAAGCATCAGGAAATGGAAATAAATATGCTGCGGTTGCTTAAGATCTGTTTAATGCATTTGAGCATAGCAAAGAGCCCAGCTGGCCTGGTCCCCCGCCCCCCCCACTTTGGAGGCGAGGAGGGCAGGCGGGTGCCCTGTGCAGTTCTTCGCCAGGGCTCGCTCTTCCCGCGACGGAACACCCGCCTACACACAGCATCGTCGGAAATAAAATGCCTCGGGGTAAAATGCCTATCGTGACTGTTCTCATTACCCCCAGGATTTTAATTTTTACCCCACTTGGGGTAATTTACGCCTGTTCCCTGACCACTGCTATAGGTCTAGAAGAAGCCACACAAACCACCTTACTAAGGCCATACTGTCTTCAAAGGAGAAAACCTGAAAACATTTATAATCAATAGTTAAAGAAGATTATATTTCTGAGTAATTCAGAAGTGTCCTTCTGGCACTGAGAAAACTCTGAAACACTGGCATTTTGTTGGTGCTGAAAAACCACACCGAGTTTTAATTTGAACTTTACCGAGATATACAAGGTGTGAACCTATTCCAGGGACATGGTTCACCACTTTGAATAGGACATGTAAAGTGCAGACTAAAACCCAGAAGGGATTCACAATGTCACTGACATTTAGTGCGACCAGCCACTATTTCTTACCTGTTGACCATTCTTGGCGGGGAGTGGGGGATGCATGTCTGTTTTATGTTATTGTTTTATGTACAGTATTTGCTTGATTCCTAGATTGACTTTAGAGCAGATCTTTTGCTTAAATGCATGAACAGTATTATCTACATTGAACTATTAATGCCCTGTAAAACAGCCATTATCTCACAGCACTCATCTTCTAATGTGAAGC